CAAATCATTCATTCTAGGGCTATATGATCCTAATTGTATACAATTTTTAAGCATACACTTAGCAATCAATTCTACCAATACAAATTCCAAATCTAGAATAGCATCCAATTCTCCTAGGCTACAAGGCATCATATATCAAGCCAATCTATCATGAAATTCTTAAAAGTGTCCCTAGCCTCATCCTAGCATGCAAGCATTCATATAATATATTATATCAACGTGTATGGGTATTATGAAATCACTTAGTTGAGCTTGGCTGTTTGCATGCATCACACCCCTTTTTCTTTATGAAAATCTATTCAAAAACTTATTTTCTTTAGAAAGAAATCTTTTTAGAAAATTACTTTCATTCAAAAGATTACCAATTCCTCAATTTGAGTTCAAACATACTCGAGAGTGTGCCCGAAAATCCAAGGTAATTTTTTTTTTAAAACAATAATCATACAACAAGTTGTTCCAAAACCAATCGAAGTGAATATAATATTTAAACATAAGAGTAATATCATTAATTGTCAATGCCGAAAACTCTGGGGGATGATGTGAAATCACACTGAACCCTTCCCTTTTGAACCGAAAGTACCTGAAACTGTAAATATCAAACGATAAGCACAAAGCTTAGTGAGTTCCCAATAATACGACATACCAAAACATACAAGTGTCATGGGCTACCCCATGTCTTTCCTTGTCGTGTCGAGGGCCAAATCCCGATCTTACATACAGGTGCCAGGGGCCAGATCCTGGTCTTTCATACAACTGTCAAGGGCCAGATCCTAGTCTTTCATACGATTGCCAGGGGCCAGATCTTGGTCTTTCGTATAATTGTCAGCGGCCAGATCCTATTCTTTCGCGCAATCATCACAGAGACAACTAGTATTCCGTGTAACAAGTAACGGGCCGACAGTGGTGTCTTCGACCCATGGATATAGTGAGAAAACTCACCTCACGGTCTGAAAGCATAGCTGCACCGATCACTACTCTAAAAGTTATCTCTATCGTTCACCTATACAATTAAAAGGAACCCAAATCTAAAACTATAAATCAAATTACCCAAAATGCCCTTAGGTCAAACTTGGTCAACCCTGGTCAAAGTCAAAGTCAACAATCAAGATCCAAAAGCCAATATTTATTCCTAGCGGAGTACGCCCTACGTACTAAGAGAGTATGTCTAACGTACTCTGATGTTGACCAAAAGCGGGGCGTTGACCGCGTACGCGCAATGCACTACTAGGCACGCCCAATGTACACAATCCAGTCCCAAAACTCCATTAAGAGCTTATTCCATTAAGCCCTTACATCCAAAACTCAGATCCAAGCCCAAAACAATGCCCTAAGTCAGAAAGTTGCCAACATTATGACTTTGCATGGCTATAATGTGCTTAATGTCCAAACCCTAAGTTCTTAACCCAATAAGACATCATAACTCGTGTATGGAAGGGATAGAAGGGCCAAGATCACATTTTTATGGTTCATAATAGCTCCATAATGGATAAAGTTTCCAATTTTATCCATTAGAATAGCCCCAACAAATAAGATCTAGTCGTTAACTCTTAAAGGGACCCAAAAGTGCATCATTTTCAACTTAATCCATTAAGTACAAGTCTCCAACCTTCAGATCTGAATCAAAATGATGCTTAGATGGATATAGTTTCCAACTTTATCCATAGCAAATTCACAAACTTTCAAGATCTAAACTTTATGCACTTAAAGTGACCAAAAGCTCATAACACCCAAAACTAGCTAGATCTAACAATTCCATCATCAAGATTCAAACTTTATACCTCTAGAAGAAAGATCAATGTGAATAAAGTCTAGATCTACAAGCTCCAATGCAACCAACACTTCTTCATTGAGTTCCTTCTTCTCCAAGGTGAACCAAGAACACTCCAAAGCACTTAAAACACCTTCTTTTTTCTCACAAGGCTCAATATAGGGTTAGAGTTACAAGAGAGGGTTTGGAGAGGTGGAGGTTGAGAATAGAATGAGTTTGGGGGAGTTAAGGAGATTAAATATGACTCAAACCATAAAAATAGGGTTTGGGCACTGATCGTGTACACCCAACATACGCAATTTACGCCGAACGTACTAGGGATGCCCTAGTACGCCCAACGTACACGTTGAGTACGCCCCAACATACGCGGCTCAACCCAAAACTGTCCTAACTTCTTTGTTTTAACTATGATTTTGACAATCTTTATATCCACAGAAAGAAGTTGAGAAGCTATACAACGCTATCAACTCTAATTTGCCTTAAAACTTACCGAACTTAAATCCAAAATTCATAAAAAGGCTCGGACTATCACTTTACGGTTATATCATTGGGCTCCAAAGCACCAAACAAATGCTCGGATCACCTAATTTACATTACTCGCATCCAAACGGGCCTGAATTTCTCGCTCCCTAAGGCCTAAGGCCCTATGATAACTGATCTTCGGGTCACGGTCCCGAATTATGAAACGATTCAAAACAGTGTGTTATAATTTTTTTGATAGAAATCAAATAATTAGACTTTATATACCACGTTACTCTATTGTAATTTATTATTTTTGTTATTTTTACTAATTAATCTAATTTATTGTATAAAATAAAAATAAATATTTTATAGGTTTTATTATTTTTATAAATATATAAGTTATAAACCTAATAACAGTATCAAATACTATGTGTGTTTAAATCAATGATTTTGACAATCTTTATGCAATGTTTTAAAAATCGCCTTTTTTGTTGAATCTGTCTAATGATCGGTTTCTAGTTAAACCGTCAGTCTACATCTGACAGTGGTGTGTGTTGGCCTTCACGTTGTATATACTATGTATAATCTGATCGATCGAGCTATTCAATTTTCTTTGGATATGAATATTTTTTAATTGTTTATGTGAAATCTAATTATCCAAGTCTAATAAACCGGTTCAAACAGTTTTTTATTGGTACCATCACACCCGTTCAACCCAATGTTTAAGGATATTGTCCAATTCATTCCGATCTAGAACTTAGCATAAAACCAATCATTGTTGAACAGCTTTCGTCCTCGGTGCGTGGTCCAACCGGCCGGTTCAAACCCGTTTTAGAAAAAAATATAAGCATCAAAGAGAATTTATAAAAATAAGTTTTTCTTCCATGTAAATTGGTAAGTGTAAACATCTAACTATTAGCCAATAAGATTGAGACGTCTAGGTCCACCACCACAAAGTTGTAGCAAAAATGCTGCTAAAATAACATAATTTGATGAAAGAAAATTTTCATTTGCTTAAGATCTATACTATAAGGGTTATTTTTTTATTTTTTTTTTATTTTTTTTTTTTTTACTCATATAGGTTATAAAAGTAATAACAATGAATTAGATGATAAGATGTTATATAATGTTTTATGCAATGTTTTAAAAACTAGTTTTTTTATTGAATCTATCTAATGATCGGTTTCTAGTTAAACCGCTAGTCTACATCTGATAGTGGTGTGTGTTGGCCTTCACGTTGTATATACTATGTATAATTTGATCGATCAAGCTATTCAATTTTCTTTGGAAATGAATATTTTTTAATTGTCTATGTGAACTCTAATTATCTAAGTCTAATAAACCAGTTCAAACAGTTTTTTATCGCGTGGTATCATCACAGCGATTCAACCCAATTTTTAAAGATACCGTCCAATTCATTTCGATCTAGAACTTAGCATAAAACCAATCATTGCTGAACCGATTTCCGATTCAAACACGATTTAGAAAAAAATATAAGCATCGAAGACAATTTATAAAAGACAAAACTGTACAAATGGTCCCCGTGGTTTGCTCAAAATTGCCACTTCGGCCCAAAAAAGTTTGTGCTAGCACCACAAGTCCAAAGTTTTCAATTTCTTGCATCTTTGGTCCAAATGGTTATCTTCCGTCTATTTCCCTCTGTTAAGTTATGTTTAACTAGTCAATTTAGGGGTATTTTGGTCATTCCATATGTATGCCCCTTATTTTATATTAATAAAAGAGTCCTATAAGAACGAATCCCAATCCCTCTTTGTCGTCGTTCTCAGCTATGTCTTCTTCAACAAAGCAATCGTCTTCGATTTCTTCAAGAACTCAAAATAAAAAATGGTGCTTTGTTTTTGTGGTAACAGTGCCATAGTTCGCACCGCATGGACTGACAAAAATTCAGGTCCACGCTTCCGGAGATGCCATACTGAGGTACACAAAGGTTTTTTTTGGATTTCAGCATAAATATCCCATTACATGCTACGATCTTCTTTTGTTTTGTCAATATTGAAGGGATCCAAATGTCAACTTATTGGGTGAATTGATGGTCCAATGTGTACGCGTTCAAAAGCTATTATACATGGGCTGCTGAGGTCGATCAACAAATGGAAGTCACAAAACACAAGACTCAAGTGTTACCTGTTATGCAGTTGGATGTTGTTTGTGTTTGTTCTGGTTTATAAGAAGTAGATTGAAGTGTGATGGTTTGGGTGGTTTATAAGTAGTAGATTGAAGTGTAATGGTTTGGGTGGTGTTTTAATGTTTTGAGTAGTATTTTGTTTAAGTAATGTAATCTTTTAGGCAGTACTTTGTGGTAGTCTTTTGTGGTTAAAATGTAAGCAATGTAAGACATGTTTTGCAAGATTTTATCAATGGTAATTACATTTGGTATGTACATGTTGACCATTCTATTTTGTTTGTGGTTTACACATTATCAATGAAAATTGTATGTTTTGTTTAAAAGGGCACATTGGTCAAGTTCAACAGCATGAAATTATACATGAGAATTACATCAAGACATTAAACATAACATAAACTATTACATCAAATCCAATCTAAATTGTTCCCGTATCAAGTACCGGAAATAACATCCAAATTGGTTAAACCCCAAAACAAATAAAATACTAGATGTACAATACACATAAGCATAACATTATCGCAAAAAGACACTTATACCCCTACATACATCAAAATCCCTTGAAATCCCATCACTTACCCCCTTGGCCTTTGCAAGTTCTAGCATTGTGCTCTTGATAATATTTTTTCAAGAAAATTCTGCTTCAAGATCTATATTCATGTAAAAATCCCTCATATCTACTTTTACATAAGGGATTATGTTGTCTTCATCCACCCAAAAATCACTATCATCACTGTCATCACTCTCATCACTTCTTTCATGATTCTCTTCATCAGTCTCTGTCTTATCTTCACTTCCATCATCAACTGCAAAATCTCTCATCTCTACATTCTTATCATTCATTTCAGTTCTTTCATTATTTTCTTCTTCAGTGACTTCCTTATTAATTGCATTGTCCTTACCTTCATGAACCTCATCATCTACATTTTGTTCATTATACTGTAAGATATGTTGGTACAACCAAAAATCAAAGTCATTAGCTGCCTCATCAAATTCATTAAATCCATGGTCAATATCGTTAGCTGCATCATCAAATTCATTCAATCCCTGATCAATATCATTAGCTGTATCATCCTTATTCTCACCAATCCTATCAACACCAACATCATGCATGACTAATTTCTTAATACATGATGACAATATTTTGTCCTTGATAAATTGTGTTTTCTTAGTATATTCAGGGGATATCGACAAGGCTAAAGCACCTTCATTTGCTATCACAGGTGGCATGCATGTTTGTAGCATGCCACTGGGTTGGTTATTAGTTGGGGGGTTTGATGTTCCTCAATCTCCTCTAATTGCTCAATAATAACTTTTCTTATAGGTTTAGGAGCCATAAAGTAAGTAAGCAAGTTAGTAATACCATGTTCGGTGTAAACCCTTATCAGTTTATGCTCCTTGGCATACTGGGCAAGATTGAGGACATCATCATCATTTCCTAGGGCACGTTACCCAAAATGCATGTCTGCTTTTTGCACTCGAAAATGATAGTAGATAAATGGAGGAATTGAGTATCCTAACCCTTTCATAATAGCATCCATCTCGTGAATAGAAAACTATTCTATATCCACCATATCTATGTACGTCACAGTACCCTCAATGTAGTTGACATCTGGAAACTTTGTGAACTCACCTCCATGATGTAGCTTGATGGTAAACAATATAGGGTGTCCATCTTCAACACAAGAGCAAAAACAAGCTTCAGAAGGTATGATTTCTTGTAAACAAATCAAGAAAATGATCAAAAACAAATTTACGTACCATAAACCACCATTGGGTCGAATGACGTGCTTGGCAACCGTAAGTGCCACATTAGTATATGCATTCACTACGAAAGTCGCCTGATCGAAGCTATCAACCTTGGTAATCAGTTTAGGGTTCTAGATCCTCAGTCAATGAGGAGGAAAATTATATCGACTCACGGTTTTTAAGGACTATAAATGTGAATTAGGCTCGATATTATCCGTATGGCACTCCATATATACAAACTCTCTTTTATTAATATAAAATAAGGGGCATAAATATGGAATGACCAAAGTACCCCTAAATTGACTGGTCAAACATAACTTAACAAAGAGAAATAGACGGAAGCTAACCCTCTGGACCAAAGACGCAAGAAAATGAAAACTTTGAACTTGTGGTGTTAGCCCAAACTTTTTTGGACCAAAGTGATAATTTTGAGCAAACCACATGGACCATTTGTGCAGTTTTATCTTTATAAAAATAAGCTTTTCTTCCATATATATTGGTAACTGTAAATACGTAACTATTAGCCGATAAGATTCACGCATCTTGGTCCACAACCACAAAATTGTAACAAAAATGCTGCTAAAATGGCATAATTTCGTGAATGAAAAATATTTTCGTTTAAGATCTATGCTATAAGTTTTTTTTTTTTTTTTTTTTTTATTTTTTATTTTTTTTATTTTAACCCTACTTATATCATTATGAGAATATAAATATATTAATAATAAATCTTTTACTAAGTTATATGAATTAGAACTCTCCTGCATCTTATCATACATCAACCTTCTATTACATAATATCGAAAATTATATAAAAATTCATTTGAATCTTTGTTTATGATTATGCTATACGTTTTTAATTAGACTCGTATAATATAACTTCGATCATTATGAGAATATGCATATGTTAGTAATAAATCTTTTACTAAAATATGTGAATTAGAAGTCTCCTGCATTTTATGACACATAAACCTTTAATTATATAATATCGAAAAGTATATAAAAATATGCATTAAAGTTATAAAAAGCACAAGACATACGAAGTAATAAAAACCCAAACATAAATCGATGCCAGTGAAGTACCATGCATGAACATAGAGAAAACAAACATAATATATTGGTTCAAGCATCAGGAGATTATGTGTCCAAATGTTCCCTTTTGATCCTCCATACCATGTCTTCATGCTTCTTGTGGTTCCATGTATTACATTACTTTATAGGAGTTCTCAATCATACGTATGATCATATAATAATGCATTCTATTATAGGACATTTTTTATTATGTTAATGATATTGCAATCAATCGCATATGGCCTCTTAAAAACGGTGATCAAAACATGTTCCAACATGTCAAGCATTGTTCACAATTAATGGAATATAATCTTAATATAGAAAAATAAGTGATCAAGAGAACATGTTCCGACATGCCAAGCATCTATTACAAATGTTTAAGCAACCTATTTTTTCATTAGATCAGGTATCAAGTAGATCGACCAAATCTATATGTGTGTCCGTGAATAATCATTTGAGATGAATACTTTATTGGGTGTAAGTGTAAACGTATATATAAAATACATATATCTTTACTTTTACGTTTTTGGATGTTCTACAGTTGACAAACAAGCTTTTAATGTTAGATGCATTGTCAAAGGATGTACTAAAAATATTATTTATTTAGGGATAATCACAAAAAATACCATTTTTTAATGTGACACTTAACGTTTTCACCACCATCTCTTTCGAAACTTATTAGTTTCTTATTTTCGCCACCTTCAATATCGCAATTTTGTTTAAACAATCTAAAATTTTACATTTCGGAATTCCTTATGGTGATTATTTCTCATTCCGAATTACCCAAAAACCTGTCCGCATTTATTGCTTTATTTCGGAATATGATATGATGTACTACCTAAGGATATTTCTTAAAATGATTTGGAGGATGAGACTAGAGAAATTGGTGAAGAAAGAAAGTATTTTGGTATTTGACTTTTATTTGAGAGGAATATATAGTGTAATTGAAAAATCAGAGGATTGCTTTTGATGAAATTATTCACTGATTTTTCTTAATATTAGGTGATGGTGACGAAACTTTAGCAGAAAAATGATCTTGTAACGCTCCCTGCAGCAATGGTCGTTGATACTAATAGTACAGTAAATGTTTTGAATGTCTTCATACGATATGTTGTTGGTGATTTTAGTGTTATCAACATATTTTGGTGCAATTATTATTAATGATGAGATAGACCAAACTTTATTTACTAAACGAACTTGGAGGTGCAGGATGCACATTCGGTGTGATAAATGTGAACTCGATAATACGGAGGTCCGGAAGCAACGCCCCTAGATGCAGGGTTAGGGACTGCAACCCTTCGTGGGGTCTTGGGGCAGCGCCCCTAGCGGGTTCCAAGGGGCAGAGCCCCAAAACCTAAATATATTTTTACTTTAGGTACGACTCCAACCATGCAATTTTCCGCCAAAACCCATTAATGACCTCATGATGATGAAGGTATCGGTTGTGTCAAATAACTACTATGTTTTGGCTTCATTTTTTGTTTAACCTGATTTAACCACTTTTTCCTCTAGTATAAGAAATTTTCTTTGGTTTCAGAAAAAATGTTGGACATTCATACATTCGAAATTATATATAATAATTTCTCTATCTCTCAAGAACACATCAAAGCAAGGTATTCTGTGTTTTCAATTCGAATTAGGTCTATATTTCGAAATGGTTTATTCTTAGATTTTCACTTCTGCATTTGTGTACTTCAGGCACAAGGGACGAATTACAAATTTCAGATAACGTTTGATAAACACGATCCTGAATCTATCCAAGTCTAATTTAATTGTTATTCTGATCCCTTATTTTTCTAACACATGTTTTCCTAAATGTATACACAAATTTAGTAAACTATTCCCCTTCTTTGAATAGAGCAATTTTAATTACCGAAAATATATTTGTTGATGAAATCATTGATATTCAAACAAGGAAATTTCCACAAGAGCAAGTAGAGTAAAATAGTTTTGATGAAATCAAGCTCGTTATGAAGATATGTTGCATTCTTTAACTCCTAATGGTATGCACACCACATAGACTTATTTTGAAATACAGTTAACCTTTTATTCTTTTGAGAAACGTGAATCCAACTGAGGGATTATGTAACTCTTTTGTATGGATTTTTAACAAGAAAGCCATGTAATACATATAGGGATAAAATTTAGAGATTGTGTTGGAAAATAAAGTGTTTTCCAAAGAATTCCTTTGTAACCAACTGTAGATGACAAATACACAATGTCATTCAAAAGAACTAAACTTCCCAAGAGAGTGCACTTTGCAATGACTATTAATAAGGTATATAGCTAAACATTAGATTGTGTAGGTGTGTACCTTAAATAATTTGTTTTCGCCCATGACCAACTGTACGTAGTCTTATACTAGACTAGGAAAATTAAGGATGGTAAAGTTCTTATAAGGAAAAATTCTTCTATTGGCATAGAAAAAAGGAAAAATATTGTGTATCAAGAAGTATTAGAACATGCAAACAACACTCACATGTATAAATTCGTTAACAAAAAGTTTCATTTTTTTGTCATTGTTTTTAAGTCTTTATCGTAACTTTTGTTAGCGAGTCATCATCATCATCATCATCATCATCATCATCATCATCATTATTATTATTATTATTATTATTATTATATCTTGTTATAGTTGTTCGTATATGAATCCATAATTCGCCCTATTGTATTGGCCCATGCTGATGTATTCTATATATAATCGTAAAATTAGTGAGCGATCGTTTTTTAGGGGAAATATTGTAATTTCATGGTATCAGAGCAAAAGCTTATCTCCCTAGATTCTTGCAAACCCTAGCTGACGACTTCCCTACCGCCGACTAATCTATCTCTCTCCTCGATTCTTTTGTTTTCTTCATCTACTTTTATCGATCACCATGTCTACTCCAGCTCTTTCTGTTAAACCTTCTTCAACCATTAACATTACACACGTAGTTCCACTTTTACTTGATCTCGACTAGATGAACTACGACAACTTGCGAGGATGATTTGAAATACACTTTATCGGTTGTGGTGCTGATCACCATCTGCAGCCTCCTTCTCAAAACATTGTTGAGAAATTTGATAAAGAGAAGGAGAAAACAACAACATAAACAATGACCGCCAAAATACATGGACTCGTATAGATTCTATTGTTAGATCTTGGATGTATGGTACTGTATCCACCCCTATTCTTTATATGATATTCAAGAAGCCAACAACTGCTTATGATGTTTGGATAAGCCTGGAAAAGGTTTTTCGAGATAATAAAGCATCTAAGATCATCCGGTTGGATCGTGAACTTCGTAATATATCCATTGGTAACTTCACTATTAACAAAATACAATAACCGGATCAAGTGTTTAGTTGATTGTCTCGAACACATGGATTCCAAAGTCTTTGAATCAAATCTAGTTGCATACATGCTTAATGGACTCTCCTCTATATATC